TTCTTCTTTACTAAAACTGACTCATCTTATAAAGTCTACCACCTGTTCCACAATGTAGTTCACCACCCAGGGAGGTCATCCATTCATCTGTGAATGGAAGAAATCTTCCTCTTCCATCTCTATCTACAGTCAGATCAAGGTGCTCAGCCTTCTGTGTAGTATATGTGCTTCAGGCCTGCTGTGCACAGGTGTGAAGTTTAGACCAAGTCAAAGGCAAGGGCAGGGCTTGGCATCTGGTACCAAGTACACAGATGCAGATAAGGACCCCACCTAAACATAATCTATTGGGGAGCGCAGGGGAATTCTGGAAGGCCAGGGAAAAGGAGATGGCAGTCAGTCTACAAGGCTCTGGCACGCATTTGCAAAGCTGGTTTTTCTGAACCTTTAAAACCAATAAAATGGAGTACAACAGGTTTGTTAATAACAAGAATCTGAGTTAACCATTAAGCAAAAGGATGAAAGGAGGCTTTGCAGTTGTATCAGAATGAAGATTATAGCAGTTAATTTCTTCTGCAAAACTGAGGGGGAAAGGATAATATATAAAACTAGACAAATCTCTCAAAACCAATCACTTCATGGAACTGAAAGCTAACCTAATGTAAGCAACAAAGTGAGAAGTATTTATTCTTGGAAAGCTTCTATCTTCGGGTAAGAACATTTTGCCCACAGATGCTTCCATCACCCCCTTACTCAGTTGATGACTTTTAAGTAAGATCAGCTAATCGTGAAACTATTGGTAATAAAGACTAAATTCCAAGCGTGAAAAACTGTTGGCTTTGCTGCCCGTGAGAAATGAACATGTAATGAATACTCAGAAATGAGAAATTATTTATATATATATATTAGCTTTGATAGCCTCTCAACACAGACCTGGGAAATCCCAGCAACAAGTGAAGGTCAAGGAAGACGTGAAAGCCGGCCTTCTCTAACCCATAAACAGATACCTTGACACAGACTGGATGCCATGAAGAATTAAGGGACTGAAGCAAACCTCTGCTCAAATAATTGACTAATAATCTCTAATAATTTGTTATGAAAATAAGGATGCAACCTTTACAAAATCAAACTAATAAAGATCAAGAATTATAGCCAATGCCGGGCAGTGGTGGCGTACGCCTTTAATTCCAGCACTTGGAAGGCAGAGGCAGGCAGATTTCTGAGTTCGAAGCCAGCCTGGTCTAGAGTGAGTTCCAGGACAGCTAGGGCTACACAGAGAAGCCTTGTCTCAAAAAAAAAAGAATTATAGTTAAATAAAGATAAAATCCGTACATCATGCAGGTCTCTATAAGCCATGTAAGCCAATATAGAGTCCAGAGCTGCTACAATTAAAATGGACAAGACATAGAAACAGTAAAGTATGAACTACTACAAAAACCAGAGACACAAGAAGTAGAAAAAACTCTAAATGGCTTGAATGCTGTGTTTAATAGACAAAGACTTCAATTCAGTTATTTTAAATCTGTTCAGAGAATTAAAACTGTACAAAGGATTAAAAGAGAATAAATGAACATAACTCAACAAATAAGATTCCTAAGTAGAGAAAGGCAAACTTCAAAAAGAGTGGAAATCCTAACACTGAAAAAAGTACAATCACTGAAGTTAAAAACTACTTAGATCAGGGCACTATGGTAATACACACCTGTGGTGGTAGAACTTGGCAAGCTGAGGCAGGATGATGATAAGTTCAAAACCAGCCTCGACTATAAAGTGAGACCTGTCTCAAAGGTATGAGGAGAAGGAAGACAGATGGAGAGAAATAAAAAGGGATAAGGAGAGAGATGAAGGGAGGAAAGAAAGGGAACAAAGAATCAAGTAACTTGAAAAAGATCTAGTTTGAAGAGCAGGTGTGAAAAAGAACAGAGACAAGTCACAGAACCGGCAAATCATGGGAAAATATTAAATTTCCCCACATACATGCAGCATGAACTCCAAAAGAAGAAAGGGAGGAACAAAGAAATGCCAACTAAAAAACTTTCCAAATCTGATGAAAAACTTTACCTTATAGACCCCAAGAAGCTCAGCCAAAATTGTGAACTTCAGGTTCGAAGAGAGAACCTCTCTCAAAAAGCCAGGAGAGGATACCCGTAAACTTACGAGTAACAAAAATGGCAGTGTGGGGTGATGCCTGAGCCTGAGTCCTCACTGCTAATGGGAGATGAATTTTTGAGCTAATAAAGGTCACCCCTAAGGCTATCTATCCTTTTTGCAAGATGTCCCACGCCCTAGCCCAAGAGAGAGAGAGAGAGAGAGAGAGAGAGACAGAGACACAGAGACCCAACATTGACCTCTGGTCTATGTATACCCATGTGCATGTATCATGCACATAAAGGAAAGGGGAGGTGGAGAGGAAGAGAGAGAGATGGGACTGAGAGAATACGAATGAATGAATGAATGAATGAATGAATGAATGAATGAATATCTGAAGAAGCTAGACTGCCTGGTGAAGACATTCGTCTCCCAAAGGCAGGCAATGAAGTCTAGAGCAGGTGACTGCCTCTTCAAATGTCAACAAGCAGGAGAAAGAAAACTTAACATGAACAAAGAAACACAGGCTAAGCAACAGAGTAACACCCACACCAAAACCACTGCAAAGAAACAGAGAGCTATGAATTACCAGAGCTTGCACACTTCCAAATAACTGCTTTAAGGAAGCAAGGTAAGCTACAAGAGAGCAGACTGGTAAATCAGAAGTAAATAGAAGATCAAAACAGGAAGTCCAGCAACAAGAAATGAGACAGAAAGAGGCCACATGAGTCATCAGCCCCACTCCCCGATCCCTGATCCTGGCACTTGGGTAAACTAGCCGGGACAGTGCTGCAGAGCTGGCCCTAGTGAAGTGGGAGAGCTGGCAGGCTGACCAACTCAGCTACCACCCAGGCCCAGATCCAGGGCTTTGGGTTGGCCTACTCCATCTTTGAACTACTGGGGCATGTGAAGAGGCCAGTCCTCCAGATCCAAAGTTGCAGGATCTCTATGATATCAACAAGAAGATATCCAAGAGGAGTTCTGGTGAAAATCCGGTACTGGTAGTGTAGCAGAAGCCTTGAACCAGACCAATGACTCATTACAATGAACATTTGTAAGATGTTTGGACAAAAAGGTTGTAGGACACACTGTGACACAGCACAGCTTCCATGATGAGATTTTTGCTCTTTTTTTTTTCCCCTTTTGTGGGGGCGTTAGGGTTGCAAGGGTGGAGGGCAGATACAAAGGGGCAGGGAGATGAGTGGGATTGGAGTACATGATGCGAAATTCACAAAGAATCAATAAAAAGTTTTTAAAAATGACAACATAGTAAGCTTTCTTTTCTCTAATTCTCTTCTTCACATCCATGCCTAGGAAGGGATACTTACCTGTTCTCCATTTCCTCCCACCAATTTTATTTATTTTCACAGCCCCAGGGGGCTGGCAGTTTTCTCCTCATCTGTAACATCTGGCAGACAATAAGATTATAGTGATTTAAAGGCTTCTCACATAAAAAGACTTAATCCTTGTTGGTGTGGCTTATGATTTGGAATCAATTCTGCTTCTTGCCGAAGTGTGGAGGGGATGATGTTTTTGAGGCAGGGTTTCATATAGCCTAGGCTGGCCTTTCCTTTACCAGGAAGGTGAGGATGACCTTGAACTCCTGATCCTCTGGCTTCTACCTCCCAAGTGCTAGGACTTTAGGCATGCAATACACCACTATGCCTGGCTCAAAATATAGGGAGAGTGGAAAGACTTACTTTCTATCATGTAAAACTGCTGGGTGTGTTGTGTATCCTTGTGATCTCAGTGCTAGGGAGACAGGCAGATTCATATAGCTCACTGGCAGGTCAGCCAGCAGAGCATATTTAGTGGGTTTCCAGGCCAATGAGAAGCCTGTGTTAGAGTAAGGCAGATAGTATCCCTCAGAAGTAATACCCCAGGTTGTCCTTCGGCCTCTACACACATACCTGCTCCTGTCTCTGCCTCTGTCGAACACACACACGTGCTGCGGATCACCCGTGGGGTGTCCCGGCACCGAACCAGGGAATGGGAAGATATTCAGGTGGGGAACGGATTCAGCTCGACAGACAACACGAACACCAGAGAGGTTTCAATGCTGCTGAAATTTTTACTGACTCATAGCAAACTTTTTATACAGTCAAAGCAGGAACTGTAGTTTTGACAAGGTGCCAAGCTATACACTTCTTCAATTCTTTTTTCTTTGAATCATAACAGAATTAGTCATTATTACAAAATCATAACTTCAAAGGAAAAGAAGCAGTTCTCTGGTGACCTACCAGACTGGTGGTCACCTCATGCAGACAGTCTCAAGCTTATTCTTAGAATGTGGTTGAGCCTACTGCCGGTTCTCTTGGCCAATCTGTCTGAATTTTCTTCAGCAATTGCTTAACTTCTTCTATTTTTCTGCACATCAGCCTATGACTCTCTCTGCACCAAGCTGACCCTGCATATTTATCTGTAGCATCAGCAATATCTGACCAGACCTATGCCTTATCTTCTGCCTTTACATTCTACATATGCATTACAAGCCTCACAAAGAACACACTTTCCATGCCATTCAGGGAATTGTTCCTGATGGCTTCTTCTAAAGAATGTTCAAAGGTTTGAATCACCCCGGCTTCTGTGACAACCATTACGGAGGTCCATGCAATAGCTAGAAAATAAACAAAACAACAAAAAGAATGAAACCAAATCCCATATCCCTGCAGAATCCCAGAGGCCCAAGAGGCACATCTCCACAAATATCCAGGCTTCTGCTGCACACTTCTGCCTGACAGAGGAGTAGGCTCCAGAGCCATCTTGACACTAGAACTTCCCTCAAGCCTTTTTGTCACACTGATGCTGTAGTCAGCATGGCTGGCAAGGCAGGTGTGGCACACACACACACACACACACACACACACACACGCATATATACACACAGCACACATGCACGCACGCACCTATATGTGTCTATGTGTACATATATGTCTTCATCATTCAGTCACCTAATTGCAGTCCTCATCTTTTAGGCATCCTGGAACACTGATGGCAAACTTCAAGGGCCATGCGCTCCCAGGGAGCTTCTTTCTAATATTTGGGCTGTGGTGGTCAGTGAAGTACCCACTGAAGTACTTTCACCAAAGGGGCTTGAAGAAGAACAGACTGAGCCATCAGCAACAGCGTATTGAGATCATTGAAGGTGCAGTGAAGACTTTGTTTGCAATCATTGGTAAGAACAGAGGTCATTCTGTCTATGGTATCTCCTCTTCACATCCAGAACCTTCAACCTACCCCCCAGATCCTGTGAAATAGATATCTTACTAGCAGAGATAATACAACAAGATCTTAGATGACTGCTAGTCTGTTTTATTTTAATATCCATGTATACAAAGCTTTATATTAATAGTTAATAGACACTTTTATTGTATACACTATGAATAACTACCAAGTAAACTAGTTTTTGCCCTATGAAGTTACAGGAACAGAACAAATACTACGTGAAAAACAAAAAAATGCAAATAAGAATGGGGGGAATTTTTTTTATAAAAGCAATTCAAAGTTCCAAATAAGGTTTAGTTTAAATTAAACCGTTGTTCCCCAAATAGTCTTTATCTAGACCTTAGGGTAATTAACAACCACTCATTGGCATATCCTCCACACAAAAGTCTCAAGCACTACCAGGAGGGGTACCCACAGGGCGGCCAACAAGGCAGGCAACAGAAGGGTTGAGAAAGCCCTCAGAGGAGCTGTGAGGGATTTTAGCCCTGCTTCTTTCTCATCAAATCCCCCACCGCCCAACTGCTTTCTGCAGCAGCTCATCAGGGACTGGCAGTGAGCTCTTCCTGGAGCCACACCTGCTGAGAGCACAGAGGAAACTCACTCTCAGGTTGCCTGCCACTTATCCTTAGCCTACCATCCCATCTGGGTGTGAAGTGGTGACATAAGATTCTCCAGCAAGCAAGATTTCTTGCATGCACCAGACAGGTCTTTGTGGAGCTCATGAGTACCATATGACTTACTGGTAAGGAGACACTGCCTTAAAAAAAGAAAAAAGAAAAAAGTAAAAAAGCTAATCTATTTGCCATCCTGGCTGGATCAATGTCAGTACCACTCTTGTGCTCGTTCAGTACATCTCTACCAGATGCCAGCCATTCAGTGTTCCAAGAACTAGAAAACTGTAGGAAGCACACACAGTCCCCACTTCACAGGGCTTCCATTCTAGTATCAGTGGCACTTCTTCTGGATCATTCCACAAACTTCCTGGTCCCTTATAAGTGAATGCAAATTTGAATGACTTCCAGGATTCCTCCAAAATATTTTAGGTACTAAGCATAAAGGCAAATCTGCCTTTCAAACATGATAAAAAGTAGAAGGGACAAAAGCCACGTATAGTACAGGCTTGCAATCCCAGATTCAAGAGGACAGTTTAAAGCCAGCCTGGTAGTGAGATTATCTCAAAAAGCAGAAACTAAACAAAGCAAAAAGAGAAAGTGACAAGATCCACAGGCTACCCAAAAAGCACAGCTTTGTCAGTCTGGCCTTATTTTTGTCTCTCTTTAGACACCATGGCCACAGTGTGAGGCCTCATGTTGTTCACCAGTGTTTTAAAGAGTGCTGTGCTGAGGAGGGGAGGGCGTACCCACTCTATGGCAGCCCTAAGACATATCCAGGAGCCGCTGCCCTCGTAGTGTCTCAGCCACACTAGCAGCTGAGGGAGAATGCTCTGCTTATCTCTACTGTGGGGCAGAGTCCCTGGAGACCAGTATATCTTATTCCTGTCATTGCTTCTGCCCCATCCTCAACCCCTAAAGGAGCACCCAGGGACAGCTGTTTCCATACACTTCAAAGAAAAATTCTGTACAGCAGTAGTTTTCAGGTTGGTCCGCTGACCTGCGGGTAGCTGTCATCCATCCCTGGACCTGGTCCCTATCTCTGGGCAACCTTTGCTATCTCATGTTTGCTGTTGTCATCACCTCTCCCACCTCAAGTTTCACTTTTAATTCCTGGCAGGGATCCTGGCAGAGCAGTTTGTTCCAGATGGACCTCACCTGCACCTCTACCATGAAAATCAGTGGACGAAGCTAATGAACTGGCAGCACAGCACAATGTACCTGTTCTTTGGTGTCTCGGGAATCATCGACATGCTCACCTACCTTTACTTCAATATTGTGCCCCTGGGGTTAGACAGAGTGGTTTTGGCTATGGCCGTATTCATTGAAGGTAACTTGGCTGGAGAAAGGGAAAGAACGATAGAAGTTGACCTTACATGAGAGATCGAAACTTAAAAGACAAGAAACACTCACATATAAAGGTCTTCCTCAGAAAATCAACTCTCAAGACTTTCAAAGCCTAAACAGGGTTGGGTCCAATGTTCTGGGTGGTCCAGATAGCATAGCCTGGTCCATAATGAAGGCAAGAAATCTTGAGGTCCCACCTGAAAACATGCATGCATACGTACGTATGTATGTATGTATACTCATTCAACTTCTTACAAACCAGCACCATGACTAAAATACTACATCCGCTGTCTTGCCTTTCAGTGGAATCTGCAGACACATTCTTTTATATTCTCAACAGACCCACAAAACCAACAGTCTGCACATGCTTGCTGCCAATGATGGCATGGCAGCAAAATGCTGAAGAATCTTAAATCCATTTGAGACAAATAAAGGGGAAAAAAAAATCCAATGATTGGGAAGGGCCAGAGTGAATGTTCTTAAGCAAGTTTCTGATGGCTGTCATTGGTTCACACAGGTTTTCTCTTCTATTTCCACGTTCACAACCGACCTCCACTGGACCAGCACATCCACTCACTGCTGCTGTTCGGTTTGTTTGGAGCAACTATCAGTATCTCTCTGGAGGTTATCTTTCGGGATAATATTGTGCTGGAGCTTTTCCGAACCACTCTCCTTATTTTGCAGGGAACCTGGTTCTGGCAGGTGATTATCCACACTCAATATGGTGTGGGTTGAAAAGCCCCTTGGCGTTGTCCAAGAGAAATCCTGAAAGTGGCTTGTTGCCTGAAAATGCAGCAAATACATCCGGGGGAGGTGGGGGAGAAGTCTGTCTGGAACAGCAGTATTGCCTGTCTGGATGACCTTTTTATCTCCACACCACTCCTTGACCTACAAAATTCTTCTCCACTAATAGCTTGCAGATACTGTATACCTGGTATTTACTAAACTACTCACATGAAATGGAAGTCCTAAAGTTTAGCTAATTTTAATTCAGCCTACACAACAACCAAACTTAACTAAGAGTGACTTTCCAGTGTGAAATGGTGTAACTGAATTGTAGGAACTGTAAGACAGTGTACAACATACTGCTGGCCATGAAGACAACCTACCAGAAAAATCTTCCTCTATCCCTCCAGATTGGATTTGTCCTGTTCCCGCCATTTGGAACGCCAGAATGGGACCAGCAGGACATGAACAACGTCATGTTCATCACCATGTGCTTCTGCTGGCACTATTTCATTGCTATCTGCATCACGGCCATCAACTACTCCCTTGTTTACTGGTATGTCTGAAACACATTTTGTGCAAGTTTTCTCTCCCTAGCTAGTCCCCTAAGGTGGGTAACTCCTATTACTTAATGACTGCCAACGTCTTGCCAAACTCTGCACAAAGTACTCTTCATTTGTAGGAAAGTTACAAGTCTTACTTGCCAGTGAGTCTAAGGCTAAGTTAAACTGCCTGACTGGGTCATAGCAAACCTGTTTCAAGTGCAGGTATAAAAGACTCTGAGCTAGTGAATGATAGGGAAAACCTCAAAGCAGAAACCAGTCTGGGCTGAAGTCCCTACTGTCATTGGTTTGTGATCACATCACCTATTTCATGACTTGTTTTGCTTACTTCCTAAATATACAGACTTCAAAGTATGTACCAGAGCAGAAAGTGCTTTCTAAGTACCTCTCAGCACAATAGAGATGTAAGAACTACTGACCCCCTGAACTTACTGTCCCGGGCAGCACAGAGAATTTAAGACACATGTTGACCTCTCTGACCCTCATCACTGTACTATGTACAGTTTTGTTGGTGGTGATGGTTTTATAAATCGGGAAACAAGGCTTCAAAAGGCTAAATAAGTTTACCAACTGGTAAAGGGAAAGCAAAGCTGAAATTTGGCACGTGTTATTATAAGTCTGTTTCTGTGGGAGCTGCCCCAGCCTCCCACCTCCACCTCTACTCCTGTCCTTATTTCCCTACACCCAAAGTAGATATACTTCATCCAGAAAGAACTCCCACCAAAAAAAAAAAAAAAAAAAAAAAAAAGGTGGGAAGGTTTCTTCTAGCTCTTCTTTCTGGTCTGTAAAACAGCTAGATGTCAAGAGGCCTGAATCTGGTCTCAAGAATATTTGGGTTACTACTAAGTCCTTTCTACTGTGAACAGAACACTTGAGAAGCCAGATATGTAGTCTTTGTATCACTGTTTAATAGACACTTGAAAAAGGTTCTGCCATTCTTTTCATCCTGGAGTTATTGAATGGAAGACTTCCAAGGCTAACCTAATGGTTCTGATGGTATGTCTACTACAGCTTTCTGACTCGGGTGAAGAGACATGCAGGAGGAGAAATCATTGGGATTCAGAAGCTGAAGTCTGATCATACTTACCAGTCAACCCTTCTGAGCGGCTCGGATGAGGAGTAACATCAGGCGTGGGAGAGGGAGACCTCACATCCTTTTAAACAATAGCTAGAAAGGATGCAGCTTGTCCCCTGTACTCTAAGGCTTGCCTTATGTGTTCCTGCCCCAGTACTCCAAGGCTTGCCTTATGCACTCCTAGGGCTCCATATGCTGCATCCATCATCTAATACAGAGCCAGAGGCTCAAATACAGGAAATGAGACCTTGAGTGGTTTTTATGCACCATGTTATTGGAATTATTTAAGCACAGTTTAACTTAAAATCTGTATTACAGTAACACTATCCACACAGAAAAATGCACACCTTCCAGTAGCAGGCCCATCCTTAGAGGATTGACTTTAAGATTCTGAACACCTACACTAGGAAGTGGCCATGTGGATGAAGCAAGCCGGACATCACATGCGGCTTCTGATAACCTGCCCCTCTTCTCTCAAGCAAGCAGGTACTTTCTTCTCAGAAATGTACCAGAAGCTAGATGATGACAGCTCAGTGTCTTCAATTCAGAGCCAAGATTCTAACAGATTTTAAATAAAAAAGCAACTCACGAGCTTTGGTATTTTCAGAGTTATCTTTTTAAATATTCTCTAATCAGTCATACCAGAGTACTGAATTTTAGCCTTGATCAGAGATAAAATTAGGTGAAAGGTAATTTCCTTAAATCAAGTAGCTAGTTCACAACTCAGCTGAGAACGCAAACTCTGCTGATACCTCAATATTATCCTATTGAGGAGCATTATATAGCAAGTCTGTACCTCCTAGATAAAGGAAAAAATAAATCAGGTTATGAAAAGCTTCCAATTTTAAAACAGCTAAAACCAAGATATAATGATTTTGAATTCTTAACACAGACCTGATGCTCTACTGTTGTTGGTCCTGCACAGGCTTTGTTTTTGTGAGGTTTGTTTAGTTTTTATAATTTCCCTCAACAAGTATTTATTAAACATCCACTTTGCCCTAGCACTGTCTTCGTGAATCAATGAGGTGTCCATCAAGGCACTGACAATATAAGAGAGAACTCCTGAGGTATCATAGGCAGTGTGGTGGGCACCTGGCAAAAAAAAGTGCAAGGGCAAATCAGGTGTGGTATCACACACCTTTAATCCCAGCACTTGGGAAACGGAGGCAGCTGATCTCTGAGTTCAAGGCCAGTGCGACCTACAAATTAACTATCAGGACAGCCACGGTTTTTTGAAACCCTGCCTCAAAAAACCAAAATTTTTAAAAAAACAGAAAAAAAAATGCAGGGGCTGGAGAGACAGCTTGGCTGAGAAGAGCACCTACTGCTTTTTCAGAGAACTTAGGACTGATTCCAAGCATGGCAGCTCACTACAGTCTCTAACTGCAGTTCCTGGGTATCCGTTATTCTCTTCTGACCTCCGCAGGGATCAAGTGCAGATGTTGTGCACATACATACAGGCAAAACACTCAATGCATAAATTAAAACAAATCTTTAAAAAAAAAGTAATACACACAAACCACAGAGAAATAAGGGAGGGAGACATGGCGAGTTAGCCCTTTAGAGAAGGTATATCGAGACGCAGTAGTACATACAAAGCCACCAAGAACATAGAAAACTAAACACATTAGTTCCAGTAAAAAGAGGCTTCTGTGCTGATTGAATTTGAAGGGTCTTCAAGACCAAGTAACACCTTTCACTTGTACAACCTTCTGAAACTCGGGGACACACTCTGCCTCAGTGAACTCTTGTCAACCCCTGTGATTTAAGCCATGTGAATGAAGTCCTCTGAGGCTGGTCAGCATAAAAACGAACAGCTACAAAGTAGAAAAACCAGTCACCACTATGACTTGAAAGCCTGGTATCTTTCTCATAATCCACACTTTGTCCCTTCATAAACACCCACAAACAGAAAGTTCTTCAGATTCTTTGGAAGAAATACTGAACTTTCATGAAAGGCTAACTGGCTGGCCTTGCAGAAATTCACATACTTAATTTTCAGATTAAGAATCTGAAAATACTAGGTATTAGAAAACTCCTGTACTCCCCTTTCAAGGGTCCCCTTGGTTTGCTAGCTGAACAGGAACTCATTCATTTAACAAATACTGGAAGACCCATTCATTCACCAGCAACAATACAAAATTTGTTCTTTCCTTAGGTCCAAGTTGGAAAAGGAACCTGTTTCCAGTTTTATTTTCAAAGAAAAAGATGCAACGATGTACTTGAGACTTTTTACATTGGCAGAACAGCGAAACAGTATTCTTGAGGGACTGACATACAATTATTAAATATAAAACATTAAAATTAATTTTTGTGGGGCTGGAGAGATGGCTCAGCAGTTAAGAGCACTGACTGCTCTTCCAGAGGTCCCAAGTTCAATTTCCAGCAACCACATGGTAGCTTCCAATCATCTTTAATGGGATATGATGCCCTCCTTTGGTGTGTCTGAAGACAGCTACAGTGTACTTGTATACATAAAATAAATAATCCTATAAAAAATTATTTTGTATCACTAGCCAGTGGTTTAGGATACCTTCATTGAATGACAACCCTAGCAAAACATTCTTAGACAGAGTACAAGCTATGGGGCTGGAGAGATGGCACTTCCTGCTCTTCCAAAGGACCTTCAGAGCTCAGTACCAACACCTACATCTAGACAACCTCTTCTGGCTTCCACCAGCCCCTGCACATATATGATATAAAGCATGTGTGCATATATAATGTAGATATATGCACACACATATGAAGATACAACTAGATAAAAATAAATCTTAAAGTACAAGCCAACCAATCAGAATGCTTTCTCAATAAATTTTTTTTTTCTTTTTTGAGACAGGGTTTCTCTGTATAGCCCTGGCTGTCCTGGAACTCACTCTGTAGACCAGGCTGGCCTTGAACTCAGAAATCTCCCTGCCTCTGCCTCCCAAGTGCTGGGATTAAAGGCGTGCGCCACCACTCCCCGGCTAAATATGAGTTACTTTTACGGGATTTGCTAAGTAAAATCAGGAGCGTTTTAGCCAACAGTAAATATCTGAGAGTATCACTTACTTTCTCTTTATTGTTGGCTAGAAACTAGCACATCATTTTCCGTGTGAAATATATCCAAACCATAAAACACCTATGTCAGCTCTTATTCCCCACTATGGTCCTCTTGCCTCATCAGTCAAGTCCTGATGCCAGTCCTCAGGCACCCATCAAGAGTGCAATTCCATCTCATCCTGTCTCCTGTGGTTTGAGAGCTAGGCTGGCCACCTAACTACCGACCTTCAAGTTTTAACAGAAGGCATCCCAGCGAGTTTTCCTTGAGTAGAGCACACACACCAGAGGCCATGTGGAAGCCCATGATCCGTGTTCCAGCTGACTGTAAAGGGCAGGAAAGCTGCCTCTGCAGTGGTGTCACTGACTATGAATATACAGTTGAGAGGGAAACATGGAAGACTCCTGTGACAACCCACCTCCTCAGTCCTTCCTGCCACAAAAGGGTGATGATAGCCTGAACAGGAAGCCATTGGAAAGAACTCTGAAGGAGTGTGATGGGGATGCTGAGGTGTGGCTCTCCACAGCTAGTGGCTTCTCGTGGGACCCAGTTCTGAGGGCGTGGGCCACTGGGAGTTTGACCATCCAGAGAGTATGTGGACAACACAAATGGGACCTGTTTTCTATTTTATTGGGGGGGGGGGTCACAAGGGTGGGGGAACAGACATGGAAGGACTGGGAAATGATCGTAATTAGGGTACATGATATGAAATTCCCAAAGACTCAATAAAAATATTGTGTGGGGAAAGAGTTCAGCACAAAGGGAATGTAGCTTAGGAAGGATCTAACTTTTCTTTTACAGTTCTGAGACACAGTCTAACAGAGTACCCAGCTGACGTGAGCTGAGCATGGGTCTGAAGTCTTAATCTTCTGGCTTCCACTTCTGGAGTGGCAGGGACTACATTATAGGCCCATGTGACTTTACCGTCTCATTTTTAGGGGTGCTAGGAATCCAACCCATGCCTGTGGTAGCTAGCTGGCACTTCCTCTCGACACTGAGTTTCACCTTCGGCACCAGGACTGACTTAGAATTCCAAGACCAGGCTGGGCGGTGGTGGCACACGCCTTTAATCTCAGCACTTGGGAGACAGAGGCAGGAGTATTTCTGAGTTCGAGGCCAGCCTGGTCTACAGAGTGAGTTCCAGCACTTGGGAGGCAGAGACAGGAGGATTTCTGAGTTCAAGGCCAGCCTGGTCTACAGAGTGAGTTCCAGGACAGCCAGGACTATACAGAGAAACCCTGTCTCGAAAAACCAAAAAAAAAAAAAAGAATTCCAAGACCAGGCACTCATCTTGGTTTTCTCTAATTTCCCCTCAGATTTATATCTTCTCACCATTAAAGAGGGATGACAGTTATATCTGATAAAACTGCTGTCAGAATCAAATGGAACTGTAAAGCCACTCTGTAACCAAAACAACTTTAATTCTTTTCTGTTTCTCAGCAGCTTGCCACATGAACCAATTTCAGCACACCTCCCACATAAACCAGCACTTCCGGTCTACATGTCTCTAATTGTTTCTCCATAAAAGACAATGATTAAAGGCCCAGAAATTAAAGATACATTTTTAATAATTTGGATACTTTCACAAAGAGACAGGGAAGCCCTATCCTTGCAGAAAGGTTTTCCCACCCACCCCTGCACCACAGCAAGACATGTAAGATACAACCAGTGCATAAAGTACTTGGGCTTTGTAAAGTACCCTGATGGTGGCTGAGAAGAGTGAAATGGCCAGGAATAAAAACATCAAACGCACTCATTTCTCCTCAAGCTGGCACTGCCAGGCAGTGCCTACCTCTGCCCCCACCTCCACGATTTCCTCTATGTTCCAATCAGGTGGGCAGCTCTAAGGGTCTGGTTCCTCTAAGGGAACAGCAATGGCTGTTCTACAGCAAGGAGAATGTGCAATGTCTGCACTGTAAGCAAGTGCACTGAGAGCAGCATCTCACCGGCTTCCCCTACTCCCCTGTCCAACAGCTCTGAACTTCCATGGGAACAGGCTTGTCGAGGACAATGCCCACAAGAGAAGGCACAGGGACAACCAAGATTCAGACACCCATATAGTACACGGTGCTGAACTAGTCTCACTTGAGGTGTCCATGTTACCTCATGACCTCCATTTTCTTATTATATAACTTCTCCATTATCAAGTAAGCCAACCTATTAAGAGTCTTGCTATGCTCTCATTCTGGTTGAAGGGGTAAGTGATAAGTTTAGGGGCACTAAAGCCCAGGTTTCTATTTGATAAAAGACTTATAGTAGGTTCTTTAAAAAAATAAGTTACACAAAAATTTTCTGGACACAAAACTCACATCTCAACAAGTCACCAAGAGGATCAGAAACTAAAAAGTAAAATCCTCACACAGAATGAGGCTTAGTCCCTGCCGGCCCACTTACCAACTAAGCAGGCCTGCTCCCTGGGCATCCAACCCTCAGGTGGTAACACTGGCTTGTGTGACTGTGACCTCCCAAGACTCTGATATTCTCTCTTCCTGGACTAGACAGATTATCCCTGGAGCCCTGAAGGGACCCTGTCAGGGCTTCACTCTGGAGTGTGGCAGCAGAATCCAGGCCACAGTTGCCATCACTCTTCACTACCCTGCCTCAAGCAGGACAGTTCAGAAGAATGATGCAGCCTCCTTGCTCCCTCTCTGTCAGCCAAGCTACACCAGGACTGGTCTCTAAGAGAAGCTGCCTTTCCTCTCAGTCACTGTTGCTCGGGTGCTTGTTTAGGAGATGGAGCTGTGGTCACAACAACAGTGGACACTGCTTTGGAGGAGCCAGAAGCTGTACCCTGTTGCAGATGGGATGCTGGGACGGTCTGGATGCGCACCTGCTTACAAAGAAAGGAGGTCTGATCAGTGGACTGCACAGTTCATCAATTAGGAAAAGCAAACAGACAAGCATGAGCTGGTCAACAGTCTGTATCAGACCTTACCTGTGTAGCCTGACCTTGTTGCTGAAGCTGCTGCAACTGCTGGGCAGTAAGGAAACTCACTGGCTTATTGCCAGCGATGAGCTTAGTACCTGCTGGCATGGTTGTGAGGATGATGTTGCGACCCAGCCCACTGAGACTGTGAAAGGAAAACAGAAGTAAGTATGACCACATCACTCAGACTGAGGCTACAGACTGCATGAAGGACAATGAAAAGGCCTGATGCCCAGGAAAAATCTTCTAGATTCAAATGCAATCTCATACTAGGACATTTCTTCTAACCTTCCGTGGCAGAAGCCTCCAGAGTAGTGGATAAAATGGCCTAAACTCTATACTCAGCCCAGGAAGAGACAGGCACTACCAGGATGCATGCATCCCTGGCAAGAAACTCTCCCAGTGGACAAGAACTCAGAGTATCACAGACTGTACAGGTGTGAGCCAGCCTCAGCATCCCAGTAAGACGCCTGTCTCTTAGGAAAAAAAAGGCCACCCCAAATCCCAAAACAGTTTTATCATGATTAGGAGTGCCAGAATGACTGCATGAGTCTTTTATTCCTGTTTAAGTCAAGGCCAGAGAAAACCAACATTTGCCAAATTATTTTAAGCTTGGCCTCAAACATGGGGGGTGGGGGTGGGGGTGGGGGGTGGGATCCCTTACAGCATCACATGCCAGCATCCTGCACCTCCTCATGTCCTACCACTCAAATACATACTGCTTTATTATGCCTGTTGGATTCCTCTCCCTACTTTACAATATAAGCTAGGCACAGAACGGCTCTTTTGTGTCTTAATCACTGCATCCAAAACAGTACTGGGGATTCAATGTGTATTACTGATGAAAAATGTCAGGTGCCAACCACCCTCCCACTCTGTAACAACTGTGTTTGCTATTCTACACACAGCACTCACTTGGCTCCAAGGTTGCCTTTGATGATGGGGGCTGTGACCACGCTCTTGCCCTTCATTGGCTGGCTAATCACAGAGAGAGGAACTGTGATCCTCGTAGGCAGCTTCCCCTACAAAGGAGACAATTAGTTTTGTGGGATAGAAAAGATACAGCAAAACAGCTAGTGTCTACAGAGAAGAACACTACAGACACCTCCAACCCTCATTCCCCTAGGGGTCCCAGTATTCCTGCAAACAGAACCCAACCAACTCCAATAAATCAGCTTGTACACAAGTTATATATCACTTGTTCCACTACCTAAAGAGCAGCAACTGTCATGGGGGGCTCAAGCTTCCAGCTTGCCTTAAGGCTCGGGAGGGACTTTAGAGTTGGGGGAATGCGACGAGAAAGAGAGAGAGAGAGAGAGAGAGAGAGAGAGAGAGAGAGAGAGAGAGAGAGAGAGTGAGAGAGAGAGAGAGTGAGTGTGTGTGTATGTGTGTGTGTCTGTTGTCTCCCAGGCTGGCCGTCAATTCAGTCTTCCTGCCTCAGCTTCTCCAGTGCTAGGACTATAGGCATGCACCACACACTCAGCTAATAGCCTGGGACTTTTAAACAATACTGGCAACTCCATTTTGTGTTATGTGTGTAACTAGAAGCCTTTTGGGACAAGGGATGCAAGAGTATAGTTTCAATATGAAATGTCCCCCACTGGCTCATATACTGACTGCTGGTAAGACTAATCTGAAAGACTATAGACACTTTGAGGAAGGGGGAGGCCTAGCTGAAGGAAGTAGCCAGGAGTGTGATCCTGAAGGCTAGCTTGATCTCTCAGTTGCTGCTTCACTGGATGTTTCCTCGTGAGCTGAGAGGCCTCTGAGACACACTCCTACTACTATCATTCTCTGCCTCATCACTGGCCCACAATCAACAGAGGAAAAACCTGGGGCTGAAACCTCTATGACCATGACCTAAATTCATTTCCCTAAGTTGTTTATGATAGGACTTTGTCACAGCAATATAAAATCTGACAGAGTATAACTCTTAAAAATCATTTTTTTAGATTTACTCTGTATGTAAGTATTTTACCTGAATGTGTGTATGTGACGCATGTGCCTAATGCCAGTCAAAGTCACAAGAGGGCATTGAATCTATTTAGTTATAAATGGTTATGAACCATATGGGGATGCTGGGTCCTCTGGGTATAATTCTTCATATACTGCTGGATTTGAATGAACTCTTCTATCTATATTCATGAAGGATGGTGGTCTACAGCTTTTCTTTATTGTAATGTCTACATCTGGTTCTGGTGTGAGAATGATGCTAACTTCACAGACAAATTAAGTAATTCTACTACTTCTACAAAAAAAAAAAAAACAAACCCTTAGACTACTGTGATACTACTTCTTTCATAAGCATTTGGTAGAATCACCCATGGAAACTCTTGAATAGCTATATTTCTTATAAGAAGTATTAGCTCAATTTATGAGAAATAAGCCAACTGAAATGATCCATTTCTTCCTTACGTGACTTTTCATTTTGTATTTATTACAGAAACAAACAACTCTGTATCTGAATCACAAAGTGTATGTTCACCTGGCAGTCCCAGATCCTGAGCCACTTGGATTGGTGAATCCTATTTGTCTGGGTGTCCATAACACATGATATAGTTGTGGACACTCAGCAACTATATGGTGAGGAAGGACAGAGGACCTCTAGTGTTAAAAGAGAAAATGGACAGCACCCCAGTGGAATGCAGGTTTACCTGGGCAGGCAGCAGGACAATCTGATAAAAACAAGTCACATTTCTCCAGAGTTAAGGAAGGTTAGTTAGGGGACACTAATAACAAACTCGGCCAAGTGGGGGGAAAAAATCTAACTCCAAAGTTAATAAGGTCCAAGAGGAAAGAGTGACACAGAGAGAAGGTACACATGTGGGAGTGCAAAGGCCCAACACCCCAGGTGCCAGGAAAGACAGAGCCACTGTACACTTAGGTGCCTGTTTCTGAGGTTTGGCTAGTAATAAAGGTTAATATATTTTCATCCTTGCCTTAATAAGGCACACATACAAAACCTTGAAAGCATTAAAAAAAAATACTGATAAAAGTAATCAGAAAATACCAAATATAGGGTTAAGTGGGTAAGAGAGCAAACTGGGCTCGGTGACAATCCTAGAACTCAGGAAGCTAAGGTGGTCTGATCTACGTCAGTCAGGAACATACCAAAATCACTAAGAAAGAAAAAGAAACAAAACCAAACTTAAGGTAAGATCAAAGGAAAATATTTTTCCCTGCAGTAGTAGGGCTAAAAACCAAAGCCTTGAGCCCACTAGGCAACCACACTACCACTGAACCACATCCCCAGTTCCAAACTAGAAGAAAGTACTTCCTATGCACATAACAGTATGTAGCTGACAGTCTTTTTGGCAGCACAGTTAAGGGTGTCAAACTTTCGATATGTATCTCTTAAACACTTGTAGTAGACCACTGCTGTGCCCTAGCATCAGTAGAAACAGACCCCTCAGTGTACTACTAAATCACTAAAAAGGACATGGTCAACATCAGAGTACAACCTACAGTGACAACCGAGACATTCTTAACTACATGTATATACAGAGAATGTCAGGAAAAGGGCTGGAAGGATAAATACATTATTCTTTAGCCCTTATAAGAACAGAACATTAGAAGGTAAAGGAAATTTTGTACTTTACCCTATACTTGTAATATTTTTGTTTTGGGGGGTTGTTTGTTTTTTGGGGGATGGGAATGTCAAGACAGGGTTTTCTATGAATCTTTGGCTGTCCTAAAACTAATTCTGTAGACCAGGCTGGCCACTGTCTGCCCTCCACATGCTGGGATTAAAGGTGTGCGCCACCACAGCCTGATTCTTTCTAATCTTTATAGATGTATATATATGCTACACTTTTGTAAATTGAATTTCAAAAACAATAGCCTAAATCTGTAAGTCAAATGGAATGCTACAGATCGTTCTCAGTTGCCTCAGGGACAGGGGCTGAACCTAAACTACTTTCCCAGGGTGGCCTTAGCAATACAGTCCCCACACTTGATGGACTGAGACAGGAAGAGCAATGAATAAGGAGCAAGAGTCAAGACCAGCTTAGACACAGCAAATTCTAAGCCAGCCTGGGCTATAGAGCAGAACCCTGCTGTCCTGGCCCATTTTATACCAACTTATCACAAACTAAGCGTCATCTGAAGGAGAGAACCTCATCAGAGAAAAATGCCTCCAAAGAGCCAGCTATAAAACATTGTAAGACGCCAGGCAGTGATGGCGCACGCCTTTAATCCCAGCACTTAGGAGGCAGAGGCAGGTGGATTTCTGAGTTCAAGGCCAGCCTGGTCTACAGAGTTAGTTCCAGGACAGCCAGGGCTACACAGAAATACCCTGTCTCGAAGAAGAAGAAAAAAAAAGACAACAATGTATTGATGGAGAGGCTCCAGCCCATTTTGGGTGGTTCTATCCCTGTGCTGGTGGTACTCTGGGTCCTATAGAAAACAGGTTAAGCAAGCAGTAAGCAGCACCTCTCCATAGCCTCTAGGGTCCTGTTCTGTTTGAATTCCTGTCTCAACTTCCTTCAATTATGAATAGCAATGTGGAAGAGTAAGTCAAATAAAATAAACTCTGTCCTCCCCAAGTTGCTTTTGGTCATGGTGTTTCATCACAGCAACAGAACCCCTAACTAAGACACCTGTCTCCTCCCAGAAAATAGTTTGCTGAGCAAAGAGCTAAAATCTTTACCATCAACATTACTCACAGACTGGGATGTAGACACAACTGTAGTGTTAACAGGAACCTGTCGCACGGTGGGGGCTCCAGTCCCGATGCTGATGGGGGTGTTTGTTGCCCCAGAAGCCACAGCCACAGTCTTTGACACAGTGGCATTTATACTGGGTAAGGACACTGTTGAAGAGTGGACACTTCCAGACCCACCAGCAACAGAGGCTCCTTGCTTTGCATGTGCTGCAACAGTAATGGTCTGGCCTGCTTTAGGAGGCATCACACCCAGGCCCTGCACAATGCGGATGGTGGCAGCGGGTTTTGCTTCTGAAGAGGCCACTGTGTTCTTTCCCTTCTGATCTGCCACGCTCACACCAAGAGCTGGCATCAAGCGAAAAGCTGAATTCGAAGTTTCTGTTGGCTTGAGATCAGGAGTTACTTTGACCACGGTCGTACCTGCTGGAGCTGATGAAGGAACGTTGGCCGAAGGGGCCTTGGCAGGGCTGTCAGCGGCGTGGACGGGGTTGGAAGTGACATGCAAGGTAGCAGAGATGCCTTTGCCTGCAGTGCCACTCCCTGCCCCAAAGAGGTCCTGAGTCAGTTTGACTGTGGTAACCTGAGACTTGGCCAACGTGGCCATCATGTCTGGAGTGATTCTCAAAACCGTCTGGCCCTTGGCATCTGTGGTGATGGAAGAAGGTGGCAGGCGCAGTACATCCTTACCCTGGATACGGAAGTTTGTGGCTGTGAGTGGAATGCTGTTGCCTGTCTGGGGCTTCACACCAAGCTGCCCAGTGATCGACACCTAAATGGGAAAATGAAGTACAAAGAAGAGATTCACAGTTCTAAGCTGGTCATGTGCCAGGATTAGGCAAAGGCCTACTCATGGGCATATATTTCATGTATTTTTAACGTTTTATTTTGAAAAATGGTAAAGACAACAAAAGTAATAGACTATATACCCTTTACCCAGCTTCAAATATATTATTACTTTGTCAATCTTACCTGTCCTTTCCTGGCTTTAGGAAGCAATGGAAGAGACTGAATAGGAATTTTGGCATAGTTACCAATAGCAGCATGGGTAATGCATAAGGTTTAATAAAGCAGACATGCCCTCACAAAGGATGTTAAATCCAGGGCCGCCTCACCACTGAGCTATACCTACCAGCCCACCCCACAAGAACTGGGATATTTTAAAGTATATCAAGATACTTTACACACACACACACACACACACACACACACACACACACACACACAATTAGAGAGAGAAAAAGACACATACATATGTAACTTAGCAAAGGGTTTTTTTTTCCTTAAGCTAAAATCACTAATCACAATGCTGTCACTACACAGCAAGTACTATCAGCACACACATACCTGTCTGTCCTTCCCCATCTCCCCACCATCCTCTGGTATCTTAAATCCATCTATGTACAACAAGTCCATCTATTTTGAGCAACAGTGAGGTGTACCAGCTCCAAGAAGGGGTTCTGGAGTTACACTCCCTGGATTCATTACTTACCAGCTTCACAGTGCCCAGTAAGTAATAGCTTACCCCCTTGTTCTACTCAATGCCTTTTCTCAGTGTCCCTTCTACTGGATCACTGCTACAGAAAACAAGTACAAACAATACTAGCCATTCAAACAAACAAACAAAAAATCATCAAATATGATTGTTTCATGATCCACCTGCACACAACACTCCAATCCAAACTCTATGCTGTCTTCAGTAGCAAAATTTCTTTTTAAATTATTCTTTATTTATTTCTGATTCTTCATCTGCCATTCCCTTTAACAATCCATATCCTGGTCCTAGTCACATCTATTTAATGGCTACACACAGTGGTAAGTCTCATCAATACTTTGTACCATAGCCCACCCAGGTGCTGCCCAATCTGCAGGAATACATTAATTAATCTCTGTCTCCCATATTGTCCACACTCCAACTTCATCCCCTTGTAAATGATACGACTATACCTACTCATCCCATCCAGAACCCACAGGAACACTTCTTTAGATTCACATTCAAGCCACCAGCAAACCACACAAGCTACATTCACTTCTTACCACATCTGACAAATGCCTCCATACCTCTCGGGCCGCTCCAACTGATCTACATACTCTCCTTGGTTTTATTCTTATTCCCTCAAGTGCACTGTATCTAGTAGCTAGGGATTAACAACCAGATCCACAATCTGCCTGTGGCCTGCCATCACATTTAAGTCAGAATCAAAGCTCAGCATAATGCAAGCACTGTCAACCTTCCCACATGCACTGCTTGTGCACTAACTGTAACTACAATGACTTGGTGTGACACTCCTCCACAGTGTTTCTCTGATGTAAGACACTGATTTGCAGGTCTACACAGATAGTATTCTATCTCCAGGTCACCATTATGTGGCACAGCAGCTTCATTCATCCCCTTCAAATCTCACCTCCTCGGAGAAGCCATTTCCCATCATCACAGCTAAAATAACACACAACACTCAATCTTCCATCTTTACTCAAATCACCAGTGTTTATTATCTGATGCTGACCTAACTATTACCTCCCTCTCCTATGACATATGAGTTCCACAAAGGGGTTTAGTCTAACACATACCTAAATTCCCCAAAGACAACATGTAACTGTTGAATGCAATGTTGTTTTGTCATCATGTGACTCTATTTCTTCCTCTACAAAATGGTGTAATAACAATACCTAACCCACAGTGCCATGACTGACTGGCTAAAATCTACAAACCACACAGTGGGATGAAGTATACAAGACACACTGCTCTAGTATTAGATGTCAACTGGCTTCATAATTTTTTTTACCCTGAGACAGGATTTCTCTGTGTAGCCCTAACTGTCCTGGAAATCACTCTGCAAAACAGTCTGACCTCGAACTCAGAGATCCACCTGCCTCTGCCTCCCAAGTGCTGGAATTAAAGGCACATGCTACCACTGGCAGGTGGCTTCACAAGTGCAAAGATCATACTTGCATATTCACAGTAAAAGACAAAACAAATATATACTCCACCTTTACAAATGAAAACCTGAAAACCCTATAGTAAAGTATGCCATGGGAACTAACTGCATAAACCCAGGGAAACTGAAACATAAACCCAAACCTCAGCTACCCAATGTCGAAATACAAGGAACGAGAAGAACATAAAGGCTGCTCTGCCTTTGAAGGGTCAGGGTGGGGAACTCACCTGATGTATCTCCAAACCAGGAGTCAAAGATAACAAGTCCTTCTCCACAGGCACCCAAGCTATTCAGCGACATCCCACATCGTCAGTCATTTGCTTTAGCTTGAGGACACTGTTCAGTCAGGTTCACCTACCTGCTTGATGATGTTCTGTCCTGTGACATTCTGAATGACGGCTGTTGTGGAGGCACTTGGAGCAGAGTTCCCAGGAGAACTCATGGCTGTCTTGCTCACGGGGCTGACTGCAGCAGGAAGATTCGTCACTGTAAGCCCTGTCTGCCCAGGTCCAGGCCGTTGCACAGAGGCCGCTGGAGTCTGTCCCTTGACTGGAACTGTTGCCATAACTGCCTAGTTAAGGATGTGAAGTCAAGAGATCAATTAGACACCAAAATGCTTCCAGCCAAGCAAGCAGGGGCCCTACATGAATGGACATTTCATTTCCTATATTTGTACAATGTTTGCAATGTTTTACATTTAACATCCTATTTCATTTCCTTATACTGAAAACAAATGTGATTCTTCAGTTTTACATAGACAAAGACAGGACTCTGTCCTGAGTCACACAGGTATGACTACAGCATAGCTGGAACTTAGAAGCACAACCTTTGAAATCTCATTCCACTGTATAGAGCTTTGGTCTGAGAGTGAAGGTCCTGTTTCCAACATGTAACACAGAGCACCTAAAAGTCCTTTCCCAGCTTTCAACATTTTCCCTGAGGGTTTGAACATTAAATGAGTTATTTCAATGACCTTCATTGTCAACAGCAGCAATATGTGATTTCCAGGTCTTCTTCAAGCTCTGCCTGTTTTGATCCACTAGCCTACCTCTAGGTCCACACGGTCCTGTATCCCAATGACATGCAGCATCCATTTACCTGGGGTACTACTTTGGTTTGGGTAGCAGTGACTGGCACACGAATCTGTGGTCCTGCTGGCATCTGGGGTAGCGGCTGTGCTGGCCCTACTGACTGCTGGGAAACAGCAGGAAGGCTGGGCTGGGCTACCACCCGAACCTGGGGTAGTCCTGCTGAGCTGGAATGACTGACAACCCGAGCAGTAGCCTGAGAACTGGGTGGAGTCTGGATGGAAGTTGGGGAAAGCATGGTTCCTAGCTGTGGCATTGTTGGTGAGGACACCAGAAGAACACTGAGGAAGAAAATCAAGAAGAAAAAAAAAAACACAAAAACTCAGGATGTAAATACAAAAGACTTGAGGGAAAGAACAAGAGAAGAAACAGAGGTACTTACCCTGAACTAGACTTGGCTGGCTCAGAGACAGTGGTAGAGACACTTCTGTTCACCGCTGACACAGGTGGAGGAGAGATGGGGGTGGGCAATGCTGGCGTGGTGGGGGTTACGGGTGTAACTGGGGTAGCTGGCATGCTGGAGTCACTAAGGCTCAGCTGGCTTTGCTCAGAAGGACCACTAAGGCCCTTCACAGAGCCCTCCTTATTACTGGATTTCTAGACAAGAAAAAAAAAAATCTACCTCAGGCATCATGAGAGAAGGCTCCTGAGGCACTGAGTCAGGTGAAAGCCAAGTATCTATGCTGAGCTGCCTCATCACAAAATCTCTAAAGCAAATGCTCTTACGAGGTAACTTACCACCTTGGATGGTGGCTTGGGTTTTTGCTGAAGAGCTTTTCTGGCTTTAGCTGCTGCTGCTTGAGCTTGATGAATTCGTTCTATAAACAAGGATGTAATAAAGTTTAGGAAATCTGACTTTGGCACGCTAAATCAGAAGGGCTTTGTTAGAAACCAAGGCCTCTCTAAGCAGAAGCTGTAATACCACTCACTTCTCAGGAAACTGAGGCAGAAAACCAGTACAGTCAAAGCAAGCCTGCTTAGACTCTATCTCAAATCAAATCAAATCAAAACAAAACAAACAGTTGGTCGTGAGTTGCACAACTGTAAGCCCAGAACTGGGATGACAAAGGTAGATCCTCCCAAGTTCAAAGCCAGCTTGGCACATATAACAAGTTCCACACATAGCCATAGTTGGCTAAACAGCACGATTCTTTCTCAAAAACAAAGTAAGATAAGCCAGGCCTTGTTGGTGGATTGGATTCTTACTCCATAACCCTATCCTAACTAAATGCCAACAGAGTAACAGATATGGAACTGAAAGGCAGATGTCCCCCATCTAGTTAGCATACTGAAGGCCTCACATACCAAACTCTTCCTCACTCCGGTCACGATGCAGATAGATCCACAGCTTCCGACCAATGTCATATTTCACACAAGGGTCTTTCTCATAATGCAATCGATCTAGTGCACCACTCACTACTGTGTTCACCTAAGAACAGAGCAAAAGGAGGTATGGAACAACTCCAACCAGTAGCTGTAAAAGTCAGAGAGCACACTGGATCTCAACCTAGCTGTCCTACCACTGGCTCATCCATCACTTTGGAAAGAATGGTGTACAGCTAGGATACTACCTGACCTTCACTGTAAGGATCCTGTGAACTAATTAACTGTAGAACCTTTCCTTTATTACAGAATAAGGAGGGCTAGAGAGATGACCCAGCAGTTAAAGAGTAATTGCTGCTCTTCCAGAGGACCAGTGCTTGGTTCCCAAGACCCATATCATATGGCTCAACCCCTGATAACTCCACCTCCAGGAGATCCCATGCCTTCTTCTGGGTTCCATGGGTACCTACACTCGTATAGAATACATTAATATATAGGTACACATACACACAAAAATTTAAAAAAATGAATCTTAAAAAAAAAAAAAGTTGTGAATTACCATGTGGATACTGGGAATCAAACCTAGGTTTTCTGAAAGAACAGTGTTCTTAGCCACTGAGCCATTTCTCTACCCACCTGGTTGTAGTATTTTGAATGGGCTTATTATTCTTATTGTGTACATGATGTGAGTACAGGCATACAATTGCCATAGTGCATGTGTGAAGGTCAGAAGGTCACAGGTGGTTCTCACTATTACTATACTGGATGTTTCTGTGTGTCAACTTGACATAAGCTAGACTCATCAGAGAGGAAGGAGCCTCACTTGAGAAAATGCTTCCATGAGATCCATCTATAAGGCATTTTCTCAATTAGTGATCAACAGGGGAGGGCTCAGCCCATTGTGGGTGGTGCCATCCGTGGGCTGGTAGTCCTGGGTTCTGTTAGAAAGCAGGTTGAGCAAGCCAGGGGAAACAAGCCAGTAAAAGCACCCCTCCATTGCTTCTGCATCCAGCCTGCTTGAGCTCCTGTCCTGACTCTTTGGTGATGAACAACGATATGAAAGTGCAAGTTGAATAAACCCTTTTCTCCCCAACTTGATGATTCATCACAGCAATAGAACCCGACTAAGACAATCACCATCTACCTTGTTTCAGAGGCAGAATCTCTTGCTGTTTCTCTCTCATTGTGTATTCCAGGCTAGCTAGACCATACATTCTAGGCAATTCTCCTGAAGTATTGGGATTAAAGATTGGCCACCTCATCCAGCTTCACATGTAGACTCTAGGTACTGAACTTAGGTCAATCAGGCATGCCCAGCAAGTGCCTTTATCCACTGAACATTCAGGAGTCTATGCTGTCCAGGCTTCAAGTTCAAAATCCTCCTGCTTCAGCCTCCCAAGGTAGTTGGTATTATAGGTACTGCCATCATGCCTAGCTAGTTTTTATTCATTTGACTGGGGGCCCAGGGGGTAGGGTGGGATGGGATGGAGGTGCTTCAAGACAAAGTTTCTCTGTGTCCTGGCCTCAAACTTAAACCTGCCTTTGCCTCCCAGGTGCTGGGACTAAAGACATGCACCACCATGCCCAACTTACTCATTCTTTTTTTTTTGTTTTAAGATTTTATGGAGCTGGGCGGTGGTGGCACACGCCTTTAATCCTAGCACTTGGGAGGCAGAGGCAGGCGGACTTCTGAGTTCGAGGCTAGCCTGGTCTACATAGTGAGTTCCAGGACAGCCAGGGCTACACAGAGAAACCGTCTCAAAAAACCAAAAAAAAAAAAAAAAAAAAAAGATTTTATGGTAGGGAAACACATACAGCTCACTGGTAAAGCATGTTCCTGATGTGTACAAAACCCTGGGTTCAACAAACACTAGTAAAAGATAAAAAGGTGTAACTTAGATTTCCTAATAGTTTTTCTCAAATACATTCTGAAATAAAGCCAAGAAAAGCTATTTCTCTAACTTACCTGAGTGCTGGTGACATCTGGAGCAAGAAACTGAGAGTCCTTGAGCAGTTCACAGATCTCTGCCCGAGTGCCTTCTCCATTAGGCAGCCGAGCTGCAGCATCCCGAACTGACAGCAGAAAATGCAAAATCCAGGAGTCAAGCAAAGCTTCCAATGAATTACAACATCTCCTGACCTGTTCTGGTGGGGTTGAGCTCCCTAGGATTATGGTTCCTGAGCCTCACCTGACTGGTCAGGGGCACACTGCCCTCTACTGGCCATCAACACTGCACTGCACCTTCCTACACGTTTAACACACCTATGGCAAAAAAATAGGTCCATGGATACAGTAGAATTGAATAGAGTGGTTCTCATCCCCAAACAGAACATCACACTCCCTTCTCCCAGGCTCAGGGAATGTCACAGAAGAGAGGGTGAGAAGATTTTAAGAGACCAAAGTTAAGGAGAACTGACAGGAAACAGTACCTTTCAGATGTGAGAGGGAGTTGTTCTCCTAACTAGCAAAAGCTGTGATCACTACACAAGACCTGCACAAGATCTATCTAGTCACTATTCCAGCATGGATGGGAGGGATTTGAAAGGTTCCATTTCTAGTTACAAAGCTCCAGGAGTCATGACAGCAAGCTGGAGATAACGTCAGTTTTGTTCTGGGGAGGATAGATCACCCATGCTACCGTGGACAGTCCTATACCCACACCACACCCAGATGCATGCAAATGACACTAACTGGACTTAGTGGGATACACACAAACATATATAATATCCATTTTTAGTGAAAAAGCTGGGAGGGTGTCTGGAAGGAGGGACCAGGGAGATGGTGGAGGAGGGAGTAAAGGGTGGATTAGACCAAAATATGCTTTCATGTTTATAGGGAAGATGAAAGATGACCCAGTAGCTCTATAAAACTTGGTAAGAAAAATAAATTAGTACTTCTTTCAATTATCAACAAACATAAACCACATACTGCTATTACTGTGCTGTTACAATAGAAATCAAATACTTTTCATGTTACAAGTGTAACATACAAAATCACTTACACTGACCCCCATTGGAAGTTACAGAAATTAGAACTACTGGGTCTTATCATTCAGTTTTATAACAGAAGCATAGTTTTGCATTTAAATGTTTTAACAACTTAATAATTACTGAAACATGATTGGACATTCTGTAACTCTAAGCATTTTTAAGAATTTAAATGCAAGGGTCTGGAGAGCTGGCTTAGCAATTAAGAGCACTGATTGTTCTTCCAGAGGTCCCGAGTTTAATTCCCAGTAACCACATGGTGGCTCACAACCAGGTGTAATGGTACAGCTACAGTGTACTCGTATATGTAAAATAAATAAATAATTCTTTACAAAAAAAATTTAATTAAGGCGGGCTGTGGTGGTGTACACCTTTAATCCTAGCACTCAGGAGGTAGATACAGGTAGATCTCTGAGTTAAAGAACAGTTCTAGGACAGCCAAGGCCACACAGAGAAACCCTATTTGAGGAGGGGGTTTAAATGCATAATTCTAAAATGTAACTGTCACTCTTTTTTTAAATATGTATGTATGTGGTACACTGTAGCTGTCTTCAGACACATACGAAGAGGGCATCAGAACCCATACAGATGGTTGTGAGCTACCATGTGGTTACTGGGAACTGAACTCAGGACCTCTGGAAGAGCAGTCAGTGCTCTTAACCACTGAGCCATCCCTCCAGCCCTCAAATGCGTAATTCTAATTCTGGGAAGGAGTCCATAGGTCTCACTACCAAAGGGACTCATGATACAAAGAATTCCTTGTTCTTTCATTTTCTGAGACAATGTCATTGTGTGGCTTCAAATTCAGGGCATAGCCTAGGCAGCCCTCAAATTTGCAACAGTCTTCTAGCCTCAGCATCCTAAGAACTGGGGTCACAGTATTATGTCATTGCTCTCAGGAAAAAACATCCTTTGAGAAAGCAAAATCCTATACTTGATTTAACTACTAGCTTGTGAGCAGTTCACCAAAATGAAGATGACTCCAGAAAGAAGCAGTGACTCTTGGCATCAACTACCAGGGTAAACCCCACCCTGTCACCTCTCAGCTTTGAAAACTTCTCAGACTGATCTTCTAGCCGTTCAATGGATGGAGTGAGCAAGGGGTTGGGGTTTTGTACAGGAAGCATCAATTTAGTGTGAGGAAAGCTTGTGGAACAAGAAAGCCCTAGTAATAAATACATGCCACATACCAAGAGACAGAATGGTGACATACGCAGGCCGGTCAGAGCGCAGCAGTGAATGCTCACGAGCCTTGTTGAGGGAGGTCTCCTTGTCAAACACGCCCTTCACTGGCCCCACCACAGACTCAAAGCCATGCATGCGAAAGGTGAATGCCTTGTGGGGTTGGCTATACCTGTAACGCTCCTACCATAAAAAAGAGAAAGGTAAAAAATTGCTACCTCAGAATTAGTGGAGTTCTCCCTAGAACTCCTTCAGGTGGCTCAAATGAGATGTCAATACAAGGAAGAAACAAGCAACCCCACAAAGAACCCAACCACAGTGGGAAAGACAGTCCTCACAGACGGTCACCCGAGAAATGGCAAGGAAGTAAAATATATTTTGCTACCTGGAAAAAAAAACAGTCAAAAGTTTTCTTTCCCTTTCACCAAACTATTTCTACCCCAACAAACAGACTCCACCAGCGAACTATCTGGGCTGATGAACACCCAAGGAGCTGAGATCAAGGAAAGCCAGGCTCAGTGCTTCTGTATTCACAACTTCTAAGGAGATCTTACCTGCTCTTGAAACACCCGTTTCTCTTCTCCTGTGCTAGGCCGAACCACATAGTCAGTTCTTCTGGAACATAAAGAATTTTGTATCATCTCTGAGAGCAAGAAGGACCATTAGCTCTTTCTCGGCACCTAGAACAATTCCCTTGGCAGTGTGGTAGAATGTTCTATAATAATACTCAACTCCTGCTCAGTCTAATCTCCAGCTCTTACCATAGAAGCCCTACTGATTTCCCACATTACTCCATTCTTAGGATCCTCAAGTGTTTGGAATAAACAGAAAAAGTGTGACATCTTCACCTGCCGTTTTCAGTACTCAATAACAAAATTTACTCTTGGGGGAACAAAGCACTTCAAGTCTTGAGTGGGTTTTCTGCCTTCAAAAGAAACCAGAATTTGAGTTCTAAGCTCCCATTATATGAGTGGATATGTGTGTGTATGTGTGTGTGTGTGTGTGTGTGTGTGTGTGTGTGTGTGAGAGAGAGAGAGAGAGAGAGAGAGAGAGAGAGAGAGAGAGAGAGAGAGAGTGTGTGTGTGTGTGTGTGTGTGTACACATGGGTTACACTAAGTAAGGCTGGGCCCCTGCACTGTAGTATGACCAGGTAGGAATCGAGAAAATGAGATGACATTAGAATGAAGAACACAGTACTACAAGTTAAGAACATGAACTTCATGGACTTCTTTAGAGGCAGACCACCTATCTTAAGAGAGCACAGCAGTCAGGAGCCACTCTTACTGACAGGACATGTGCCCTCCTCAAGCATGTTAAGGAGTATGAGTCAGTGGACTTCTGTCTTAGGTCCCTTACAGCTCTAACACACGGATGTCAGCAGATCCAGAGTAATAAAGTTATGACATGGCTTCACAGGAAAGCACCCACCACAAGAACAATATACTCACACTCGAGGGACAGGTGTCATGGCATCAGAGCTGTCTTCATTTTCCTGCTGAAGAAAGGGAAAACATTACCAGGTAAATGGGCTAGAGAATTTTCACTAACTTAAGGGCTCTAAAACCCCAAGTCATGATAAAGTAAGAGGCGTACCTTACAGAAGGCCTGGTCTTTGGTTTCTAACCACAGGTGGAAGAGAGCAGCTAATTCTTTTTCATTATCTTGAGATTGACCTATGGAGTGAAGATGGGGCACACACAAAAAGTAAGAAATGTAAAGGATTACTCAGAATCCTGCCTTCTCTTCACCAGCTCTACCTATGCCAGAAAGAACCCATCAGAACCTTCCCTGGCCCTTCCTACATGCTCATGCCTCTCCTCACTGCCTGGATAAGCTCCAGGATGTCACTTTTTCAGATCTTTCATTCAACAAGTATTTATAGAATAGCCACTGTGCAGCAGGCATGTGCATCAAGCTGGGACCGTGAAATGAATTCACTTTCTGTCCTCAGAGAGGTCACATCAAGTGAATAATGAGGTCATATAAGTAGAACCAATTCTAGAAGAGGTAATGCTATAACTGATGCTATAAAGTTTACACCAGGGAAGGAGAAAATCCACTCTTCACACTGGCGAACCAGTAAAAAGACCAGAGGCAAAAAGCAGGCTAAGTCTGTAACCTGCCTAGAAGAAACTACTTCCTCTGTGACCTCTTACTCAGACTCCTACCGGGGTACCTGGGATGGTACTTACATACCTTGCACAGGCTAGAAGCACCATGGGATCAGGACCACACAGGCAGGCTATGTTAGAAAGGCCAGTTCTGCCCTCAACACAAAATCAAAAACTACCTCAGTGATCTGCACTCTGGCCTTTGTGTACACCCAACCATCAGGCACTGGGTAAGCGCCAGACAAACAAGTGATGGGCAAGCTGAGGACACCACAGTGAGCACAAGATGAAGAGCCAACACAGCCATGGCCACGGGCCCTCACAGGTCACATATGTTCACACACACCGTCTCCCTGCTCTCCTCACTTGGAGCAGACGTGAACCCACTGCTGTGGAGCCAGTCTCCTTTCCCCCTACTGTGACAAGAGATGCAGCGCCTCCTCAGAAACACTATGACACATTTCCCTGCTTGCCTGGATCTCCAACTACTCTTCTCTGTGACAATCTTCCCATCACCAATTTCTCTCATTCAAAAAAAAAAAATGGAGAGGAGGGGAAAAACAAAACAAAACAAACCTCTCAGAGGTCTGGACTACTTACTAAGCAATTTCCACTGCTGGGTTTTCTCTTTGAATTCAACAAATGGAGAGAAACTGGAAGGAACTGCTGTAAGAAATAGATCACATCAACAAACACAACCCTAACCCTAACACAGACACAAGCCCTAAGCTCTGGGAGAGCTTCTGAGTTGGTTTTGTTGTTGATATTTATTTATTTATTTATTTGTGTCAGGAAAGACACCTAGGAAGTGTCTGACACAAATGCATTATTGGACAAATTTAGTGCAAGAATTCTTTAGACAAAAGAGAGAAAACATAGCTGGGCAGTGGTGGCACACGCCTTTAATCCCAGCACTTGGGAGGCAGAGGCAGGCGGATTTCTGAGTTCGAGGCCAGCCTGGTCTACAGAGTGAGTTCCAGGATAGCTAGGACTATACAGAGAAACCCTGTCTCAAAACAACAACAACACCCGCCCCCCCCCCAACAAGAGGAAAAACATGATAAAATTTCGCAGAGAAGACCCTACCTCGGCTTTCTCCAGCAAGATACTGCAGAGCAGGCAACACCAACTCAGCCCAGTTGGGGGCAGCAGAGAACCAGCTGTTGAGGGAGCTGGCTGGAGAAGACTGCCAGTCCAAAACTCGATCCTCCAGCTGAGGGAAAGGAAAAGATGGACCACAATTAAGTTTCTCTTTATATCAGCAATTCCAAGGTGTCAGAGCAGGGCATGTATATCCAGTTTGCCAAATTCCTAAATTAGCTGCAATGCTGTACGAGGAACAAGCTGAGTTCTACTTCCCACAAGTGCTGTTTGTTTTGTCAAGTTAACACAAGTTGAATCATCTGGAAAGAAAGCCTTTCTTGAGGAACTGCCTCCACCTGATTTTTGTGGACAAGTGTGTGAGGCATTTTCTTAATTAATAACTGCTATGGGAGGTCCCAGCCCACCATGTGTACTGCTGCCCCCAGGCAAATGGTCCTGGGTGATCTAGAGAACAAGATGAGCTGTCCACAGAGAGGAAGCCAGTAAGCAGCACTCCTCCAGGTTCCTACCTGGATGTCCCTTAAGGATGGACATGAAATAAACCCTTTCCTCCCCAAGTTGCTTTGTCTATGATCTTTATCACAGCAACAGAAAGTAAGCAGAGCCAGAAGCTGGAGACCACGCAAGAGCATGGAAACTGCAAAACTTTAACAGCATCTCTAAAACTCTTACCATAGGAAGGCTAGCCTGACTCTCCAGCAGCAAGATCTCTAACAGAAGAGAGAAAAAACTGGAAGATATTTCATTGATTCCAAGGCAAGGCTTGATGTCTTCCAGGGGTCTAACAAGGAAGGAAGAAAATGTAAGCACTTGATGTCTGGGCCCCACACGGTAGAAGGGGAGAGCCAATTCCTCCAAGCTGTCTTCTGACTTCCACATATATAACAAATACACAAATACACACATACACACACACACACACACACACGTTACAAAGTTTTGGTTTTTTAATGTAGGAACAATCAAAATGACAAAGAACACATGCCAGATGGATCCAGGCTGCCTGGCCTCCTTGTAAGCACATGAGCTCAGGAACTTAAGAAAAGAACATGGTACATGTTCCCAGCAAGACCTCAAAGCTCAGCACATACAGTCAACTCACGTAAGTCACACAAGACTGGCTCAGCCCATGCTTAACTCCCTCCCCACCAACCCCCAGGGCAGCCCATTATATCTGCCTCACTCACTCTTCCTTGATAGATGATATTGCCAGGGGAGAGGGGGCCTGTGAGAGAGTTGGGACCCCTTCAGTATTGCTTAGGGGCTCAGCCAGATCCTCTGTCTCCAACTTAATCAACTTTATTTTCTTCTTTTTCTTCTCCTCCTTTTCCTTCACCTTCTTTTTAAGAACAGCCAAATCATACAAGGCTGGGAACAGGGAAAAGCCAAACACATACAAGTCATAAAATTGCAACATGAAGTGAGAGGTTTTAGCTGCATACCCTTCCCCAAGGCCTGTCTCAAGACTCAGTAGTAAGACACTTAGTTTTTTTGAAATCCAAATTCAGTGTGTGACCGCTAATTTAACATCTAATAATGTGCTGTGCTGATTTGATTTCATTTTATTCAAGTGTCCATATGTATGATACATGTGCATCTATATGCATATTCATGTGTAGGTGTGTGTGTGTGTGTGCATGTGGAGCCAGATATTGACAGAGCATCTTTCTCAATCAGTCTCCGCTGAGGCATGCTCTCTCTAGCTAGTCTACTTGCTGAAGAGGCCCTATCTTGGCCTCCAGGGCACAGAGCACTGGGATTAGAGGGGGCTGTGACACCCAGCTTTTACATGGGTGCTGAGAATACAAACTCAGATTTTCATCCTTGCACAGCAAGGACTGTATCCATTGAGCCCTCTCTCCCAGGCCCTGCTGTGTTAATTTTAAATTTAGAGGGCAATTACAAAACAAAGGTGGTCGGCATAAAGGCTAGGGTTCCATTTATTTTTGTCACATACAGACAATATGTCATACAATTTAACATCAGAAGTCAGGTATCTAAGAGGGGACCAGGACCCATAGACTTTTACCTGCTAAAGAGCCCTTCCTGCCGGCATTTACTCGAGTCATGATGTCACTGAGGGTCAGGTCCCCTGTCAAAAGGTCTGGGTGATCCTAGATATGACATCAAAGATCTGGTTATAAAGATCTAAAAAAGAACCCAAAATTGATGGTGACTGTGCCAATGTACTAATAAATATAGAATGCCAGGGACACATGAGGGAATCATGTTAAATTAAAATATACAAAAATATCAACTACTTACTGCTCTTCACAGTGGTGAACCCTGGCTCCCCTGTCTGCTGTAGGGTAGCTGCGGTTCACACAGCTCCTCCACATTCTTATTTCGCACTCTCATACCATAGTCTTACTACTACTATAGCTTACAAGTCTGAAAATAGGATTGCGAGGATGTAGGTTTGCTTGATTACCACTGTAAGCAGAGAAGACAGAACTCAATTTCCCTCCCTGCTCTTCCTATGTCACCTCTCTCAGATGTCTGTCCTCTGCACTGTGTTTCTCCACCTTGATGTACCGTCATATGGAAATGATAATGGAGGCCACACAAAATGGAAGAGCACGAAGTTTGATTCTTGGCTCTGCCACTTACGGCTGCAGCACCAAGGATAAACTCAGCCTCTGGGAAGGGGAGGGCAGGTCACGATTCTCACATACCAGTGTCACCACAAGACTGAAGGAAGCACATACTGTCAACCGTGCCCTGTAAAGCCAAAGCACTAGACTGGCTCCTCATACCTCTGACGCTAAGTAGCCTTTCTTATTGCTCCTGTCTTTGACAGTGATAAAAACAAAAAAGTACAACCCAGGTAGTAACTAACACTGTCTCAGGACAACTCAGAGGCATTGCACTGAAAATTACAAATGGCCACTCCCACCACAATCTTACTGGTTGATGTTTCCGCTTCTCATGGTGCTTCTTTAACATTAACTTCAGGTCACTGTCCCCCAGTTCTATTTTATCTGAAAGTAAAGGAACCAAACCACATGGACCAGGTCATTCACTATGATAAAGCTCTAACTTAAATCTGCCTAGTCACTCAGATATTCAAAAGCACAGTAGGCCTCTGGTCCCACTGTGCTACTTCTGACTCTGCATACTGTAAGCAGCACAAGTCTTCCTAATGTCCCAGGATCAGCATAACAGCATTCTTTAAATACACGAACCAATAAATGGTTTCAGTTACTTAGCAGACTCGTAAGCACACCCAAGAGGCTAGGCATTCTCCTTTGGTTCCTATTCCAAACCCAAGTTATTTTTACAGCCCCCTGAGTTGCTATGGGTCTGGCTATACATTCTACTGCTAGTTCAAGCATGGTTATGCTTTCTTTAACCAAAAATAGCAACTGATCAGTTTCTGAGAATGATTTCAAGACAAAGGAAAGCAGGGATGCCAGCACAGTACATCTCCCTCTTCTAAGTAGCACTGCTGTTTGGTGTCAAGGAAGAACACAGTCCCTACCTCCCTAAGGAGCTCTCGCTTTTCTACACCATGGTGTCTTGGAACTGCAGTACAATCAGCTCAGTTCTCACCTGCAGTTTTCATATCCGTGGTGGAAAGCGTGGGCACCACCCTCAGGGGCACCGCAGGACTAGGAGAACGTGCTGGAGAGCTTGGAAGCCATGAGCTGAGATCTTCAAAAGAAAATTTTTCTTGTAAATCCAACGTGGCTGTGGACTCCAATAGGGGAGATTGGGTAAGTGGCCATTTGGGTTCAACAGGGCTAAGCCAACAACATGGAGGCCAGGGTTCCACATTCCTTTCTGACCCTTCCCCAGATGAGCTGGAGCACACATTTAAACGGCTCTTCCAGGAGAGAGACTTCAACAGAGTGATGGGGTCGCATTGCAGCAGGCCAACAGTCACTACTACTCTCCTGTAAGGGGAAAAGCAGTTCTCTCAAGTGGCACAATGGGACCAGAGGCCTACTGTGCCAAGAACCTGTACTACAGGGATCTGCCCTAGATGTTCTGTCTAACCTCAGTGCCACAT